TCCCAGCATACACCTGCGCCACCAGGTCCCGGGAATCGTCCCCCACCCCGTGCACCAGCGAGGCGTGAATTCTCGTGGGGCACGAGCCGAACGCGTTGCGTATAATTCTAGCAAGGCCCAATGCTTGAGGCTTGTTTCTGCCTCGGCGCGCTAAGCTGCTAGTCCCTGCAGGAAGTAATTTTGTTCGAGGACTCCTCGAACGGACCGGGAATCCTTTTGGGCAGGGGAGAGGGCCGCGTTGTCTTCGAACCCATCTCGACAGACGAGCGGCGAGGCAGGCCTGTTAAACAATTTATAGGAGGGTAGGGGTGAGGGCGATCGGGCGCCAGGTTGCCCCGGGTCGCCCTCCGCCCCTCCCTTGCTTGGATGAGACAGTCCGGCTTCCCCGCATTCGTCGGCGATCTTTCCGGACTGCCGTACTAGATTGAGGAGGGGCGTTGATGAGCCTTGCCTCAGGTCGAGCTGCGGGAGGTGGCCGTTACGATATGCGGTCCCCCCCAGGCGCCGGTGTTTGCGCTGAGAAGCGAGCGCCTGCGACCCTCCTGTCGTGAACTCCGCCCCATGTCGACCGGCTCACGCCCCTCTACCGGCGTGATAACGTGCTTTGTAGTTGTAGGGAGGGGAGGCCGCGCGTGCACCCCTCGGAAGTGTGTGACTACGCGTCGGCGAAGCGGGATGGCAGGCATTGGGGGCCCCTGTTTCCGTCCAATCGCTCTCATTGCCCGTCCGCGCTTTGATGCGCGTACACGCGAGCATGTTCTTCCTCTTTCCCCCTCCCCCCTGTATTTGCCCGGGGTCGGAAGTTCCTGTCATTACTTAATTTCAGCCCCACCCTTGACTTTGGTCTACGAATCGACCCCGTAGACGCGTTGAGCGTCTTGGGCGATGTCTTCTTCTGCTCCGGAGGTGCCCCCAGATCCTGCGTCACCCGTGGTGCGGAGCTCGTCCGTTTGACCTCTGTTGCTCGGGCCCGCGGCGTCCGCGTCGTGGTGGGCTCGTTCTCCTGGGGGCGCGGCGGCGGGAGCGTCTGCTACCTGTGGCCGCGGTGGTTGGTAGGAGGGGAAGGGCGGGGTCGCCTCCTGGCTGGCTGGGCCTGGCAGCCGGCCGCAGCCGGGGTGGCCGTTTCGGGACGGGAGGGGGGCTGATGGTGGTGGAGGCGGGTGTGGGGCGAAAGGGTTCACCACCATGCGAGGAGGCGGAGCGGGCGATGGGAACACCACGGCCCCACCACGGGGGCTTGGGCAGGGGCTGCGGGGTTGTGTGTCGGGCCGTGCGGCCAGGGCCGGCACCCGGGGCGGGAGGTTTTGCATCCGAGTCGCCTTGCCCGTCGGCCGGGGGCGCTCTCTTCTGCACCCTCTTAGCGCCCACGCCTCCGACGCCTCTCGGTTACAGGCAGGGGTTTGCGGGGTAGTTGGCGGGAGCATGCGGGGTCTTCGGTGCGCGTCCGTTCGCCCTGGCACAGCTTCGGTGGGAGGCGGTCTTGGAGTGGGTGGGGAGGCGCGGGCGGGGGCGGCGGCGGGGGTCGCCGTTGCGTGCGCCGG